AATTTGTAAAATACAGGTGCCATTTCGTCGCGCGATTGGTTCTTAAAAACAGGTCCCCAGTTAAAAGAGAGAGAGAGATAATCAGATGACAAACTCGTCATTCCCGCCCAGAACTTTCATCGTAGAAAGTAAGGATTTACGCATTGAGTTAGATATTTTCTCACGATTTTCGCACGCTCATTTTAATATCTTGAACGCTTACTATACTGTTCACTTCATTACACAGTTTAATTGCGAGATGTGCAAGTGCAAACGACGCAGCATTTATAGCGCAATATCACACTGTACAAGTATATTATGCAGTGTCCTTATACTTGTAGCGAAGATTAGTGGGTAAATGACAGAATTTTCTATAATCTGCAAATATAGATGGAAGAGAGTAAATATTTTTTTCTCTTCCACAGATTCTCTCTCTCTCTCTCTCTCTCTCTCTCAAAAATCTTTTTCCAGGATTAAAGTATACACATTAATACGTATTTGTGAGGTAGAGTTTATGTCGAGAACGACAAACAATTTTTCTTAATATTTCAATTTCGAAATTTTTTGTCGTTTTCGACATAAACTCTACCTCACAAATACGTATTAATGTGTATACTTTAATCCTGGAAAAAGATTTTTGAGAGAGAGAGAGAGAGAGAGAGAGAATCTGTGGAAGAGAAAAAAATATTTATTATACAAAAAAATTACGATTTAGTCGGTAATACAGACGGCTTTAGGATCCCCTTAAAGGATATTATAATATATCTGTTTTTAGATAAGTTCTTAGGAGAATATTACGTCTGTTCTTTATTGTAGAAAATATTTCTTAACAAGAATACAATCTATTCTTGTAGAAAATATGATTTCATGCAATTATATCTATTTTTCGTTGTAATTGTTATTTTCTTTGAATTGAAATTTGTAATGAATTTGAACATTTACAATCTTGCTCTAAGTGAAAAATATATTTCTCGTAAAACCTTGATAAAAATAAAAATCGGAGTAAGTCGAATGTAATGGGAGAGTAATAGAAGCGTAAACGAAGCTTCTAGGAAGCGAAAATTGGACAACTGAACGTAAGCGTAAACGTCTCTTTTACATTTCGTTGTTTCAATTTTCGCCTCCTAGAAGCTTCGTTTACGCTTCTATTACTCTCCCATTACATTCGACTTACGCTCCGATTTTTATTTTCACCAGGGAAATAAATGAACAATAGGGTTTTGTTGTTTATATTTATATTCTCTAAGTTTTTTACGTTTATGATTCATTAAAACTAATAAATTATTAACTGACGTCACAATATCTTAAGAAAATAAAGTCTTTGTTTCATATGATCAATATGTCATCGAAGAAGACATGGTAAAAGTAGAATGTACCTTGTAGCAACAACGGTAATATTCACTCTTCATATTCACATACTTATATGTTATATAGACACGACCTGCTGGCAGAATATCCTTGAGTTTCAAACAAATCGCCTGAAGAATTAATTACGAAAACGTTTATAATGGTATAATATAGCTTGAATGAGAAATGTTTAAATTTAGAAAGCTTTTTCGATCGCTCCCCTCTGCTTTTTCTTCTTCTTATTCAATAAATTAAGCGATGATGTTAAAATTAGTTCTCGGTGAAATTATCAAGTAAAGCTTAAACTATACATATTATACATGCCTTAAAAATGTTGAATCTAAAAAATTGAAATATATTCTAGGGAATAAATAAAACTACTTTTATACAATATACTTTGCGATATAAAGTTATGTGTGTCATATCGTAATTTTGCACACGATGTAAATAAAAAATAATTAATAATTCAATTTTTAAAAGTTAAAATGTTGTAAGTTGATCTTCTTTATCTTGATCTTCTTTACCTTGTTCTTGGTTTGAAATCCCGAATTTATTAAGTTCTAGGAATTCTTATGGAATATAGGGATTTTAAATATTCTTGGAATTTTAGATAACGTAATCTCTATAATTTATTATTTTTTCTTAATACTTTATCAATGTTCGTGAATTTAGATTTTTAAATACATTGACATCTTTAAAATTAAAATTCTTGGAAATACGATTTTTAGAATTTTTTTATTATTAGTGTATAGAAATAAATATAGAAAGATATTGACTGCTTTCCTTTTAAGAAACACGATCATTCTAGTCTTCTTCGAATTCAATGAATAATAAAAATAGAATGTCATTTGTGTCTCCTAAAAGGAAGGCGACGATTAACAAAACTTATTATTAATAAGACAAATGTTTCACATTATTACAATTAAAAACGTAGTTACGATTTCTATTAATTGTCAAATATATATATAATAATTATATATAAGATATTAATGCCAAGTTTTTATGCGATTTACTTTAATTTTAAGTTTTATATGACTTAGAATTTGTATAAACTAAATTACAATGGAATCTCAAAAATATTTTATTAATTAAACATATATAATTTTTTTAAGTATTTTTCTTTTAAGATTTAGATTTGTCTCAAATATTAAACCATAATTTATGAATGGATTTTTATCTCTAATTTTAAGCAATTAAGTAATTTTGTATTTAATATTGCATGCACTTTTAAATGTTTCTTTAGGTGTAAGGTAAGGTATATAATTTTGAATATGGTACAATTATTCTGAACGAAATAAGATTTAAATCCAATTTTCGAGGTTCAAGTATAGTATTTTCCTGTTTGATGGTATTATTATCCTTTAGTACTTTCCATATATAATAATCAGGATTACTAAACTTGAATCACAAAATTGAATTCAAATTTTATTTCGCAGCTAAGGTTGTGCGTTTAGACGTAAGTATTTATAATAATCTACATCTACGTATATAGAATAATGTAAACTATGTTTTATGTATGTAAACAATCTATGGATCAAAGTCTATGTCTTTATAAATTGTCGTTGCATTAAATTAGCTTCACTAAAGTGCATTCTATATTACACTTATATATGACTATTAAATTATTTTAAATATTAAATTGTACTTTTACTTATGAATATTAAAATTAGATATTAACAGTCATAAAACTTCATTACTTCTTCCTGTATTTCGTTATCTAATTAATATACAGTACCCTCCATAAATTTATAGGAAAACCCTACGTTTACAGATTTGTAAATAATTATTTAATTGAAAAAAGACGAAATAAAAGTACATATTATACATACGTACGTTCTCTATAATAACATGCTATTAAAATATGAAATTGTAATTAAAATGCGATTCATACGAAATCTGATTCTTCGGGACCATTTTACAATTTTTGAGTCTGAAATCAATTCTTGTGACTCAAATAGTTTACCATTTTTATAGAAACCGTTAAACTATAATTAAACGACCCTGTATGCGTATATATAACAAACGCAAATACGACATTGCAAAACAAGTGACAATATATAAACAATAAACCAAAGCGCAAAATTCAACCTTGAGCGCTCCGATGCTGTGAATTGATTGTCCGACATTTTCGGCGTGTATATCCAAGGACTTCGATTCTTTCCCTCCGTTACTTTTTTAAAACTTCCAAAAATTCAGATTATTTCGTCTTTATATCAAATTTAATTGTAAGCGGACGTAAGGTTTAATCATGTCGTTATAATTGCGCACGGACTATGAGCATTAATGTAAAAAGGTGATCATTTCTCAGTTTGTAAAAATTTTCGAGGGAAAGAATCGAAGTCCTTGGATGTACATACAAGCTTATAGGTGTTCTCAGTTGAATAGTAACTATAGTTAAAACATTAAAAGTTAAAAAAGAAAGTTAAAAAGTTAACCACTTTTAACTTAACTTAATTAATTTTAAATGCATTAAATTTTAACTTAACTAAGTTATTTTTAAACGTTAACTTTTAACTTTTTTTTAAGTTAAAAAAACTTTTTATCTCTTATAAATGCCTCAGAAAAATAATCAAATATAATAAGACCAAGGGCGTATATTCGTAATCCGTTCATATTTTAAGTAATTTGTTAAGATGTGCCAATACAGCCCTCTAATTGACTTATGTCTTATGCCTTAGTCCGAACCTACAATAAGTGTTTTAAGCCTTAAGTCATAAGAAATTGATCAATTACAGTCGAATATGAGGAGAATATTTGACTGTAATTATTTCATTTTTTATGGGACTTAAGGCTTATTATTATATATTATTAAAAAGTAAAAACCTAAAAAGTTATATGTTATATCATATGATTAAAAAAATAAAAAATTTAATTTACTTGATAATCTATATTGTAGTTGTTATTTAATCTCATTTTAAGAAAAATTAGGACATTTTGACCTCAAAAATAATTTTTTTCGAAATTAACTTTTTTTTTAACTTTAATTCAATATTAACTTAACACTTTCGTTAAGTTAATTTTTTATTCCTTCAACTTTTAACTTAACTTTATTAATTTTGTAAAGCCATTAACTTTAACTTTATTCAGTTAAAAGAAACAGTAACTTAGCCAACCCTGGGTGTTCTAGATAAAAATGTTTAATTGTCATTTAGACGTCTTACGTATTTAAATCAAAAGCATGTATAGATCGCTGTCATGTAATGGTTTTCCTATAAAACGTAGGGTGTTCCCAAACTTATGGAGGGTACTGTATATGTATATAATAATATATTTATATATTTTACATTGTTCAATAATGAAAAATAGACATGTATGAAATTAACATAAACAATATGTAAATATTCTATGTAAACATAATCTTAAAATATATACGGCACAACCTTGTTTTTTTATATCATTATTTTAGTTATTTATTTCTATTTACAAAGCGTATGCTTCTTGGTAGTTTTACTGTTTTGCTCCCAATAAAGCGATAATAGTAGATAAAATAGGTACACCGTTATCATATATAGATAAAGTCATAGATTATCAATCGCAACATTACCAATGGAAACATAATTATATTGATAAATTCATTTGCACAGTCGTTTACCGATACAAGGGAAAGATGTCCTCAGTTCTCCACAAGTCTATCAGTAAGAGCGAACATCGATCCATTTGTTTACCGAGGTCGTCTGCTAGCTCGACATTCCCTGACGTGTTTCGCAAACGTTTGCGAATTATGCTGTGAGAAACGCCCGCGTTTATGTGACTGCTACAGGTGAAAACGGATCCGCGATGCCGGGGACCGAAGTTAGTATTATATTCTATATAATCTGTACAATATATGTATGTGCCAAGCAGAAGACGAACTCTGACAATTTGACGTTTCTAACGTCAAGCTCGGCTGACAGTAACCGGGACAAGGACAAAAATTTCACGACGTATCTAATATTTTATTTTATTGATTGAATATTATTGATTAGTCAATATTTATTTATGTAATAATTATTTATTTACTATATTAGTTTGCTGTTATTTACACGGCAGTAGTATTAAATTTGTTGAATCCACATTAGTAGAATCTAATGTAATAAATCCAATTTCTCTCTATCTTTTTTTTTTACTTTTACTATATTATAATAAACATTTAATTATCGTATCAGAGATCGTATATCTTTAGAATTAAATAACACCCTTTAAAATGCTTTATCTTTACATTTACATTTATCTATAGGACAGTACAACGGAGCTGGGAGAAATAGAGAATGTCAGGGTAGTGGTGCGAGTTCGACCATTGAGCAGCAAAGAGTTTGATGTCCACTGCAAAAATATAATAGATGTGGATGCCCTGAACGCCGAGATCACTATAGAAAATCCAAATGCAGCTCAAGGAGAGCCACCAAAAGTCTTTTCCTTCGACGCAGTATTCGACACAGACTCCACTCAGGTGGATATTTACAATGAGACCGCCAGGCCTATAGTGGACAAGGTGCTACAGGGCTACAATGGAACGATTTTTGCATACGGCCAAACCGGCACCGGCAAAACTTATACCATGTCCGGTGCTAAAACCTCCCCACAAGCCAGAGGAATTATTCCAAACACGTTTGCTCACATCTTCGGTCATATAGCCAAAGCCGATGAAAATCAGAAGTAAGGCATCATACATACTTATCTTATTGGCAATAAAACACACAATAAAAATTAGGCTTTTACGAAATAATTGTTATAATATTGTTTTTACAATTCTATGAAGAAGATATCTTGATACATCTTCTATTAAAATGATCGAGCATAGCTAAGATACCTTTCTAAGCAAATTGAATTTATTTATTCAGGTATTAATATATACTAATGATTATTGTTAATAGATTCCTCGTACGTGCGACTTATTTAGAGATCTACAACGAGGAAGTTCGTGATCTGCTCGGTAAAGATCAGAATACTCGATTGGAGGTGAAAGAAAGACCGGACATTGGAGTGTTTGTGAAGGATCTGAGCGGATACGTGGTGAACAATGCTGACGATTTGGATCGCATTATGTCTCTCGGCAATAAAAATCGTGAGTAACAACAATATTGCTGTAAACAGATAGCAATAGATAGCAATTGATTGTGCATATGTACTAAAAGTAATCCTGAACTCGTGAATACAGGTGTTGTTGGAGCTACTGCCATGAATGTGTCCAGCTCCCGATCCCACGCAATATTTACAATTACGGTTGAATCTAGTCAGATCGGTGAAGATGGAGAACAGCATGTGAAAATGGGGAAGCTTCATTTGGTGGATTTAGCTGTGTGTATATCAGTGTTATGTGACCTAATATTATTTCTTAAATAGAAAATTTTTCAGATGATTTTTTATCTACATGTATTCTCATTTTCCTTTACTTTTAGGGATCAGAAAGACAGAGTAAGACAAAGGCAACGGGTCAGCGGCTTCGCGAAGCCACTAAGATTAACTTGTCGTTGTCCACATTGGGGAACGTAATATCTGCGCTAGTTGACGGACAAAGCTCTCACGTACCTTACAGAAATTCCAAACTGACTAGATTGCTGCAGGATTCGTTGGGCGGAAATTCGAAAACGTTGATGGTGAGTGATAGACATTTCATGCGTTACTTATTGTAAATAATTACAAATACGTTAATAGTCTTTTGATAAGTAATGTTATAATTATATTATTTTCACAATTAAAAAATATCTAATATCTCTTAATATAATAATCCTTTGGCACCTCTGAATACCTATAATATCATTGATATCGCGATTTCAGTGTGCAAACATTAGTCCAGCAGATATAAACTACGACGAGACTATAAGCACTTTACGTTATGCGAATCGCGCGAAGAACATCAAGAATCGTGCGAGGATCAACGAGGATCCCAAGGATGCTTTGCTTCGTCAGTTTCAAGTAGAAATTGAACAATTGCGCAAACAGTTGGAGGAAAATGGCGCGGAGCTCTCGGAATCTGAGGATGAGTCCGAGGATTCGGAGGAATCGAGAGAAACGAAGCGAGATAAGAAAGCTCGACGTAGAAGGAGTCAAATGATGTCGGTGGAAGAGTTGGAGGATAAAGATACAGACTCGACTGAGAAGATTGATAAGGCCGAGAGAGACGATAAGAGTCCAATGGATAAAGATGTCATTGAATTGAAGAAGACTCAGTAAGTTTTTATCAAAGTGTAAAATTAACTAAATAGAATAATAGGGATATAACAAGTAATTAAATTTGTAATATCAAATAAATAAATAATTTAAGTACGCGGACGCTTTTAAAATTAAGTGTCCTAATTTCAGGAGTGAGAAGGAAGCGCTGCGAGAAAAGATGCAGAATTTACAGAACAAAATATTAGTGGGTGGCGAAAATCTATTAGAGAAGGCGGAAGCTCAGGAGCAATTGTTAGCTGCCGCAGCGGTCGAACTCGAGCAACGGAAGAGCCGCGAAGAGCAATTGAAGAGGGCCATTAAAGCAAAAGAGGCAGAACGCATTGATATCGAAGAGAAGTATTCGTCTCTGCAAGAGGAAGCGGCTGGAAAAACGAAAAAATTGGCGCGCGTATACACTATGTTAATGTCCGTCAAGGCAGAGCTGTCCGATCTGCAGCAAGAGCACCAAAGAGAGATGGAAGGTCTTCTGGAGGGTGTACGAGGAATTGGCAGAGAGCTGCAGCTGCAGAATCTCATTGTGAATCATTATATTCCCGTGCAATATCAGGTTTGTGTGGAAGTATTGCGCAATTTTCTTTAAAAATTTTTTTAAATGATATTAACTAAAAAGAAATAAAAGTATGAAATATTAAAGTTTCCAAATTAATTAAAACAGGAATTGACAAGGATTCTGAAAAGCATTGATCAAAGTTAATGTCATTTTACAAGTACACTAAATGTATTTTTTAAATGTATCTGCACTGTCTTACAGACAATGATCAAGAGATATGTTCACTGGAATGAGGATATAGGCGAATGGCAACTCAAGTGCGTAGCGTATACAGGGAATAATATGCGCAAGGCGCAAACCGCATCGCCGGCAGGGAATAATAAAGACGTAAGATCATTCATTTCGTTGTGTTAATTCTAGAAAGGAAATGTAACGAACTTTTTTGTTAATATCAAAACTGATCGAAACTTCATGACCAAAATTTCGATCTAGATATATAATAATATATAAACATTTTTTTACGTTTGCAGACAATGCCGCCGGACATGTCGAACATATATCTCTCTTACAACATCGGAATAGACAATACGTTTGTGCAACCGAAGAAAGTGCGAAGCCGTTCTGGCGTACCCAGACCAACTACCGCGCATCGACGTACACCGCATTAAACACGAAGATCTTCGGTCGTGGAATCGCGGAGGTTTATCTTTTCTCACATTTTTATAGTTCTATTTTTTGGCGTGAACAAACATGGACTCACGAATCCATGTTTGTTCGTGCAAACGTGCAGTATATTTACAATGTACTCGTATCGACTTGGTGCGATTAGATAATATACTCGTTTGTGTGCGGTTTCGCACGCGCGCGCAAGAGAGAGAGAGAGAGATGTCCCATATTACTTTTAAAAGATATCTCGAAACTCTCTTCTTCTTGTTTTTATACAGATATAATATGTGCGAAAGATGCCTAATTATATCATAAATATGGTTGAGATATAATTTAACACTGGCCACAGACACAGTAGACGAATCTAAAACTATTTAAACGTATTCTTTATTCGAACACTTTAGAGCACGCCACAGAAGGCACAAGTATTTTGTCCAAGAGTATTCAATTTTTTATTTATAAGATATAATATAGCAAAAGTATTCCAACAAAATCACAGATCGTATGTGTTAAAATATTATTAGAAATATACATTTTCGTGTTAATAATATACGAGAGAGATCATTCTAGTAATATAGAAAATAATATGAGTCCATTAGAAAAGTGAAAAGACAATGCTGTACCTGTGGAATGAGAAAGATTTCAGAAACTCGACGTATACAAAAAAAGTCACGATATCATATTTACATAATATTTATAGATTCGGTTAAAAATACGACGTTTCTCTCAAGATAAATTTATTCTACATTTAGAAATTCTATATCTCTTCGGTAACTTTATTCGCTTATACTCGCTACCTATACGATTCCTTCGGACAAACTTGGCACAAGAAATTACATAAAACAAAAAAATAAACTAGAGATAATGCAGTGCAAACATTTATAATTAATATTAAATATCAGTGTCAAATAATTGCGATAGAGCGTTACGAGCGTTAGAATGTTTTATTTGATTAAGTAGCCATTTTTATGTGCTATAATGATATTAGATTCATGACAAAAGATTTTTAGACAACACGAACATCTAAAAATATCGCGAGAACGTCCGAGAAAATCACACGTTCTTTAAATGGATTTTGCGTTGTCTGAATGTTTTATACTCTCTCGTAGATCTTTTAGAATGTCTGACGAGATATGTGCATTTATTATTTACTGTGATACCGAAATGCTTTTTAGCGTATGTTTTCGATTGAGTTTTCGCTAAACACTTTAGCGTTATAGCCGGGCCAGCGCTGAGTATTTATTGTTGTCGCGACGTACGTGTTCTGTTTTTGTATTTTTCATTTAAGAAATAAAAAAGATAAATTTCGATCAGGCGTTATTTCTGATAATCTCTCGAACTACTTTCATTGCATCGAACTTAAAAAAGTTTCCTATTCTATCAATATTCCCTGATCCACTTGGTAATCCAAAATCGATGGAATTTGCGTGCCATGCGAACACTGTATGGATCGTTACTATTAGTTTCTCGTAAGTCGAGATGATGCGCGGCATCCGGCATCAATATTGCAATCGCTGACTGGGATAAATTGCGGAGTACACCTCCGCTCGCCCACGGATCCAGCAATCCGTTGCTGTAAAAAAAATAAAAATAAAAGTTTATTGATGATTTAGCAATGAAAAGTTGTAGAAAATAGATGCAAAATTAAAATAAAATCGAAATAGAAATGTGAAAATATTAATATTAGGAAGGGAATAAAAATATAAAATAGAAACAAAATCTATAATATAGCAGTAAAATAAAATTAAAAACAGAAATATGTATAGAAGATGAGAGAAGCAAGAAAAAAATTTTAATATTTATACTTATTGTTTCATGTACCTGAAAATGATGTTACTTGCACTGTTAAAATTCTTACAGCTGTACTGCTCACAAACTAAATAAGGTTGCGGTGATACGGAATATCTCTTGAAACAGGTATTGTTGTAATCTGCGATGCTCCACTTCACCGGCTCGAACATATCATTGATGCCGTCGGTACATATTGGCATCACCATTTCTGTGCATGCTTGATAATCCCATCCCTGATCGTCCAAGCCTGGTTCTGCATTTTTCATGGAGATACAATTTGTTTTTCCAGTATAGTTTGTATAAACGCTGATAGCTCGATGAAGTGCCAATAACAACGGTTTTTCCGTTAATGACACGTTTGTTAAATGTTGACAGAAAACCTGAGCAATAACGTTCAAATCATTAGCTTTGAAATCTTCAAATTGATTGTAATTGAAATCTATAATTATTCTGATTACTCTGATATATACATAGAGCATGGAATATAATAATTTTGTCCAACTTTCAATAAGGAAAAAATATTATATTCGCTCTCGAAAATCCATGGAAGAAATTATGATTGCAAAGTTAGAGATATGCGCTTACATTAATCGGATTTCCAGGTAGTGGTGCTAAGAAGTTAGTCTCGTACGGATAGTTGACCATGGCCAGGTCTATGTAGACTTCCTGCAAGAAATTTTTCAGCGTTTTAACATCCTCACTTTTTGCCCTCGTCTGAAACAACAAGGATCAGAGAATTAGCAAAGATTAAGGGATCAACGAATTAACGCGAAGCGTTGGAAAACTATCTCGTTACCGTTTAAAGTCACATTTGTTATTGTGCTCCACGCCTTCTGGATGAGCTTCGGACACGTTGGATTCGCAGCTTTATAGTCCGAGGTTGTTATCCGAGAAAACGCCTCGCAATCCACGACATCAGTAAACTGTAGAAGTGGCGCGGAGGACGCAATCGCGCTGCAACGCATCGATAATATCATACGTAATATTATATGTTTGGAGTGAGCTGCCGTTTAAATGAATTCGCTATTGCTAATAAATAATATTATTTTGTTACATATATATATATATCTTGTTTCAGACATTGTATATTGTCATATCTATATATACGATAGTGTTTTGAATATCAATGGTAGTGCTCTATCTTATTTTAAATCTCTCTTTTTCGCATTTTTACTTGTGGATTTAAATTGCGATGTTTAACTCTAAGAAGGGAAGCGTAATTGAACTATAAAATATTCTATATATATATAATATATATATATATATGTACAGTGAGTGCAAAAAGTATTCGTACAAGAAAATTTTTTATGAAAAAGTCTTATTTGTAGAAAATAAACATTAATTAGCAATTTTATACAATGAATACATTCTGTTCTAACATAAACAAACGAGCTTCGTATATATTCCTGATTTTAAAAGCTAAATTCCTCGATTGTACGAATACTTTTTGAACATCTAAACAATAGAATTTTTAATTTTCGCTTATTTTTCAGATGATATATTTTCTATAATTAATACACACACATCTTTTTAATATATATAATTTTAAGAAACATACAGTCTATTTTATTTTTTATGAATAATTGTTAATTACCCAACAAGAAATGTGATCGTCAATTAAACGTCGAATCGACGTAAAATTGGTGTTGAAATCATCGTATCGATATCGATTCGATATTAATTCGATAACTCATTTCTCGCTGGATAATATTTACTTTTTAAAAATAAAGTTTTTTTAACAAATATTTTTTCTGTACGAATACTTCTTGCACTCACTGTATATATAATATAGTACTATAATTTACAATTGATTATAGCTGAACAAATCACAATGTTTACATCTTATTGATCAATTATCGCTGCATCTAACGTTAAATATAGAATATGTATATACTGCACTCTTCACGACAAAAAAGTTATATACAAATCTAGACGCTAGGATCATTTTCTCGATAATGTTGATAGCTTTAACGCGCAGAATCTTTTTCGTAGACCTGGCCGGGAGAAATCGAAATAGTTCTGTGACATTTTGTCATATTTATCACCCTTTGCGAGATAACGGCTTTTTTGGCTAGACGTTTGCACAACTTTTTTTTGTCAAAAAGTATATTTAGATATATTTAATATAAAATACTACATTCTAAATATATTTTCTCTACATTCCTGTGTCTGTACATTTGCAGCTATACAAACAAGATAATTATCGCTATCATCCAGTGATAAAACGTATAAAACGTACCCTTGAACAACGTGGGGATACTTCATGCGTATCCAAGCGCTAAGCATACCACCGTAAGAGCCACCGAAAGCTATGACAGGACTACGCTGATATCCTGATTGCGATTTCAGATGCGCGATAAGTTCTACATAATCGGCTAGAGCTTGTTGGGACGTCAGATAGCCACGATGCTGCGGATCCGCGAAGGACTGGTTCCCGTAAGGTAGCGATTCGCCATAGTAACGGTGCTCGGCGAATACTACCAATGCGTCGAATTTTGGTGCAATTTCCCATAGAAAGCCCTACGGAGTATATCTAGCTCGTTTTTAAAGAATTGAAATGAAATAATATATCGACGCCTGAGCCGTAGACGGTGTTATATCGAGAAATACATGAAGATAGGTCTAATGATCGTATTCATAGTCTTGTACTGAAATTGAAGAAGGGTCTATTTAGCGTAATATTTTCTTCTCATAAATTTTGTAGTAGTATGATTGTAGTGGTATTCATAGTCAGACCTTGTACTTAAGGTTTCCTTAAATTTATCTTTATATGCTCAGTAGCCAATGAAATAATTCGTAAAGTATCTAAAAATAAATTTAAGGAAGCTTTAAATATAAGGCCTGACTATGAATACGGGCATATATAAAAAAAATTATGAAGAGAGCGGTTTATTTCGCACGAGGCGTGAAAACTGGTCTACGTCGGAATGCATGCGAAGTACGGTTTAAATTGAGAAAAGCGAGAAGCACGGTTTATGTCGCATGAAATTGAAGAAGGGTCTATTTAGCGTAATATTTTCTTCTCATAAATTTTGTAGTAGTATGATTGTAGTGGTATTCATAGTCAGACCTTGTACTTAAGGTTTCCTTAAATTTATCTTTATATGCTCAGTAGCCAATGAAATAATTCGTAAAGTATCTAAAAATAAATTTAAGGAAGCTTTAAATATAAGGCCTGACTATGAATACGGGCATATATAAAAAAAATTATGAAGAGAGCGGTTTATTTCACACGAGGCGTGAAAACTGGTCTACGTCGGAATGCATGCGAAGTACGGTTTAAATTGAGAAAAGCGAGAAGCACGGTTTATGTCGCATGAAATTGAAGAAGGGTCTATTTAGCGTAATATTTTCTTCTCATAAATTTTGTAGTAATATGATTGTAGTGGTATTCATAGTCAGACCTTGTACTTAAGGTTTCCTTAAATTTATCTTTATATGCTCAGTAGCCAATGAAATAATTCGTAAAGTATCTAAAAATAAATTTAAGGAAGCTTTAAATATAAGGCCTGACTATGAATACGGGCATATATAAAAAAAATTATGAAGAGAGCGGTTTATTTCGCACGAGGCGTGAAAACTGGTCTACGTCGGAATGCATGCGAAGTACGGTTTAAATTGAGAAAAGCGAGAAGCATGGTTTATGTCGCATGAAATTGAAGAAGGGTCTATTTAACGTAATATTTTCTTCTCATAAATTTTGTAGTGGTATGATTGAGAACAAGAATCGTCTTGATTTTCAACCCTATTTCTTGATGATTTATTCATTTATTATTTAATTTTTCGTAATTAAATTTGTGTAAACACAACCGATAAGAACTAGAATTAAATGCCTATAAAGATCGAAGCTGGATCTTTAATGCTTAAATAATTCAATGTGAATTATATATATATATATACATATATAATGTATATATATGATATTATACTATATAATTATGTACCTACATATATGTATATACCAAATTTGTAGTCATTCGAACTATGTAATATTTTCTTCTCATAAATTTTGTAGTGGTATGATTGAGAACAAGAATCGTCTTGATTTTCAACCCTATTTCTTGATGATTTATTCATTTATTATTTAATTTTTCGTAATTAAATTTGTGTAAACACAACCGATAAGAACTAGAATTAAATGCCTATAAATAAAAGTTCAATCTGTTCCAATGATCTTGAGGTAATAAATTTTGCACTTTTTGAATGTGGTAGGGATAGCGATTATCTCCTTTTACAGTTCGCCAAATTGTTTGTGGTGACACTCCCAATACAGCCGACGCATTCCGAACGCTGGT